AGTCCAGCACAGAATGCGGCATTCCTACGAACTTAATAGAAATAGGTATAATCTGCGTAGACGACATCTGCAATTTAATAAAGGTGATAGAGTTCTCAAACGCAATTTCTTTCAATCAAGTGCTGCAGACAACTTTTGTGCCAAACTAAGTCCAAAATTCCTTCCTTGTATTATTCATATAGTAAAATCTCCGTTAGTATACACATTGAAAGATCTCCATGGTAATATCTTGGGAGATTTTCATGTTAAAGACTTGAAACCTGATAATACGTTGAATGTTGATCATGGCAATGGTATTGATGTTTTGCGTAATGATGTAATGAGTGAGAGTTCTGATTCGGACAGCGATTAACTTTTGCTTTTGTGTATTATTATGCTTTATATACTCTCATATTCTAAAATTCAGATAAATTATTCTTGCTTAATCATTATCATTTGTAATAATACTCATATTTCCGCTCAATCGAAGGGGGCGAGTTTTTCGATCTGTACATAGGAGCGAGTAGGTTTTCCTATATTTATTTCCTAGTACAGATGCGAACGGAGAAGAATTTCCTTTGATAATGAATAAACTTATTTGCTGTAAGAGCCAGCTGATTGTTTACTTTGGACATTTAACATCGTTGATCCTTCAACCTTTTGAAATATTATAACCAGTCCAATACTCATATTTCCGCTCAATCGAAGGGGGCGAGTTTTTCGATCTGTACATTGGAGCGAGTAGGTTTTCCTATGTTTATTTCCTAGTACAGATGCGAACGGACAAGAATTTCCTTTGATAATGAATAAACTTATTTGCTGTAAGAGGCAGCTGAATGTTTACTTTGGACATTTGTCATCGTTGATCCTTCAACCTTTTGAAATATTACAATTTGTCCAATACTCATATTACCGCTCAATCGAAGGGGGCGAGTTTTTCGATCTGTACATTGGAGCGAGTAGGTTTTCCTATGTTTATTTCCAAGTACAGATGCGAACGGAGAAGAATTTCCTTTGATAATGATTAAACTTATTTGCTGTAAGAGGCAGCTGAATGTTTACTTTGGACATTTAACATCGTTGATCCTTCAACCTTTTGAAATATTACAATCAGTCCAATACATATTTCCGCTCAATCGAAGGGGGCGAGTTTTTCGATCTGTACATTGGAGCGAGTAGGTTTTCCTATGTTCATTTCCAAGTACAGATGCGAACGGAGAAGAATTTCCTTTGATAATGATTAAACTTATTTGCTGTAAGAGGCAGCTGAATGTTTACTTTGGACATTTAACATCGTTGATCCTTCAACCTTTTGAAATATTACAATCAGTCCAATACTCATATTTCCGCTCAATCGAAGGGGGCGAGTTTTTCGATCTGTACATTGGAGCGAGTAGGTTTTCCTATATTTATTTCCTAGTACAGATGCGAACGGATAAGAATTTCCTTTGATAATTGCTAAGCTAATTTCCTGTAAAAGGCAGGTGAATGTTTACTTTGGACATTTGTCATCGTTGTTCTTTCAACCTTTTGAACCATTACGTCAGTCCACCATTTACAGAATTTACAAGTCATAATTATTTTTCTGATTCCAATTTAATGTGTATACTTCATCTATTGAATATTTCATTTTTCTGAGTGTACTCAAAATTTAAATTGCATTCCCGATCTAAATCATGTGACAAATACTGTGTATAATATTTTATAATGTTTTTATGCGTATATTTTCTGAATTTCCTTTACATACTTACCTACTTCTATTTTTGAAGTCTATTACTTTTGAAGTTTTTGATGGTATCCTCTTTTTGAATTCATTATAACTTTCTTCGAGAGCACAGACTTACATTGATTTTTGGTTCAAACTTTTGATGTTTGTTTACATATTTTTGAGTGGTTTTGAACTTTGACAGTATTTTGTAGTCTGGATAGTTACATAGATTCGTTGCGATGTATGCCTTGAGGGTCTTGTACTATCCACAGTTTCTTTAATTGAAAGTGTTTTCCTCATATGCATTTTATTTTCTTCTTGAGACTTGTCATATATGCTTTCCGCCTAGTTGCAAATCTGTGCGTATTGATAAACTCTTGAAACCTCTGGCGTATAAGTAAAACTCACTTTTGATATAGTAATTTATGCCTCAGTTCAATTCAATCAGTTCAATTTGATTTGAAGTAATTGTCAATTCCTTCTTGAGATTTTTCATATATGCTTTCAGCCTTTGTGCACATTTGTGCGTATTGCTAAGTCTTGAGCTTGGTTGCGACATAGCTTTCATGTTTCGCTATAGATTGTGAAATATCTGGTGATTTTGCTTTTGCATTATTGCATTTGTTTTGATAGTCTGCTCTCATAATTTTTTTTCCGACTTCTTATTTCTTTCAATTTCTGTCTTGACTTGAAGTAATCGCCAATTCTTATAGATTCAGTATAGTAATTCTCTTTCCATACTTTACACTGGTAAATTATTATACTTTTTCTAATTTTGTAATATTTCATATTTGAACTTAACTTTCATTTTACAATTTTATGGTTATTCTCAGTGTAGACTTTGAAGTGCGCTGATGATATCAGTGATCTACATGAAAATATTCCATAGACTATAGACATTCTTGTCTAGGGCTTTGGAATGCACCTATGGTGACCCTAGAAAGTTGTCTTTCTCTCATATTTTTGCTTTAAATCAAAATTCGAATTCTTACCTGTCATATTTATTTCTATTTCTTGTTCACTAGATTGTTTTTTTTTTATAACTCCAATTTTGCACCTACATATATCGTAGACTTTTGCATACAATTTTTGCTTGCGGCATTACTCTCATGTATCATGATTTAATAAAATATCTTGTGAGTTTCGTTTCGCTACTTTGCATTTTACATATGCTCACTTCGTTTCTCATTTATTACTCATGAAACTTTTAATATTTTGCTTACTTTTAAATTCTTTTGAGAACCCTTTATAAAATCATGCTCATATAGCTTTAATATTTCCTTTCACTTTATGATTTTAACACTATTAGATTTACAGTTGCACTTGTGTTGCACTTAGTTTTTTTGGAAATTTATTTTGCTCTTTTCTTCAAATTTTTTTTTTTTTGGTCTGGTTCTTATGTTGTCACATGACCCAAAAATTTTGATTGAACTTACTCTTGAATTTTAGTTCATTGATTGAACTTAAGCTATATTTTGACTTTGAGAATCTTACTTCAATATTTCATGAATGTCCCTTATATACTTTAATTCTCTGAAAATATTTTGAATTATTTTGTAGTCTTACAGACTGCTGGCGCCCGACAATTTTTTTTGTGGAATCAGAACTGCACTTAGTTAACATCTTTTTTGTTTAAAATACCTTCGTGATCAAGTTTTCATTGCTTCAGTACTTGTAAATTGTTTTGTTATATGACTTGAATTCCTAATGGAATTTGTTAATTTCTTTTGATTTTCATATTTTGAAAATAGTAAGCCACAGTTTTTTTATATTGGATATTGGTTTAAAATATCACTGTAGATGATATTCTTTTTGGGTTTGGAGTATTGCGAGATAATCTGGTAATTGTTTTGAGAAAGATTATTATTTTTTTAGTACCTCTTATGGTTTAGGTACTTACTTAGTTTTGAAGTTTTTAGTAGTCAGTCGTGCATTTTGGATGCCATTGTGATTCGTGCTTGGACTACTGCTGAAACTTTTGGTTTATTATTTTTCTCGTCTTAGGTATGACGATGTTTTATGTTTTGGGTTTTTCATCATATGATGATAGTTTTTTTTTAAGTGCAACTTCACTGTACTTTTCAGCGAGTTGGTGCTATAACCATCCCTCTTGTTTGGTAGACTTGAGGCTATCCCTTTTTCTTCCAATTCTCTTCTAACATTTTTGTTTCTACCTTACTTTTACTACTTGTTATCTGGTCGAATGGTTGTACATTTGTCCTTCCGTGATAACTTTCAATTTCCTAGTAAAAAAAAAAAAATTCTTAAATGCTTCTTCGATTTTTTTTTTTGGTTAAGTTGGGGCGAGTGTAACGGTTTCACCGTCCGATCGTATTTATTAAATCACTTCTCGATTATCATTTCATTAATCCCATCTCTAGCTTGTTTGCTTGGAAAATTTTCCGCTTGGAGCGCTTGATGCGGAGTTCCTGATCTGCGATCTTCCTCGCGCTTCCTTTTCACTTGAGCCGCCGATCGAACAACGGCTAGAAATTTCTTCTCAGTAGCACAAGGTTATATAGCACCATGTGCTAGAATTTTCTAGAATGTGTGTCCGTATAGGACAAAAATGGTGAGTTTTATAATACTATACAGTTTTATTGCTGGATCTGCCTGTAGTTTATAGATAATCGATATGTAAGTGATTTATTTCTTGTACGATTTTAAAATATCCATCGAACGTCATTTTCGACTACTTCGATCATTCGCCATAACTTTAATGAAATCGAGGTGGAAATCAATCCACATCGATTTTACCTCTGTGCGCGTATATATATTCATAGTTCAGTGAAATTATAAGTACGTTGATTATGAATATTCGATGATTATGTTTTTATATCAGAAGCATGTGGAGAAATTTTTGATGACCACCATCTTGTTCTACGCTTTTTTTTGCTATTTCGGTGGTGTCGGAGAAAAACGGGATAAGTCGCATATATAAAATTTTCAGTAGATTGGTCTATAGTTCAAAATCTTACAACAAATCAGGCGTTTTACTGAGTGATATTTTTTTCACATGGAAATATATAAAAAATCAAGTCATTTTAATGGTACCATAGAATATATGTATATATTTGACATTTTAAGAAAAAATCGACTTATCCCTTTTCGAACTACCTGAAAATCTACTTATCTCATATGTCACGTTTTACTAAACAAAGAAAATAAAAACTAACGCAGAAATAATGCCCTTTATTAATTTTCTATTCGATTTTTACAAAATAAGCCATGACTAATATATTCCAGCAAAAAAAACAAAGTTAAAGGTTTCAAAACTTAAAAAAAACACATAGTAGGATAGGTAAACCCATTATTATTCATCTTCGTCAGAAGACTCCAAATCTGGATGTATGTCATCTGCCTGGTTCGTTGGAAGATTTGTATAAAAATCCCAGAATACGTCAGAAATATACGGCAGCAACTTCATTAGATTGTCTTTCTTCTTCGCGGTAATAGGCACTAATCCTTTGTACTGCAATTCTGGAATTAACTTTGCTAATGAGCCACGCTTCCTGAATGAAAGGCACCTATAACTTTCATTGATGCCCGTTTTAAAATACATTACCCCAAGATTATTTTTGTCGATCATTATTTCTCGAATATCACGCCAGTAAAAGAGGTTTCCCGTTTCGTCTTTTTTCTTCACTTGAAGCTCTGTTTTTAGCAGTTTTGCATAATTAAAAAATTTTGACTGGTCCATCTCCACAACTTTGAAAGGATGTTTTTTTCCAGTGCATCGAACCAACTGATACCAATCGCGAGGGTGATCGATTTGTGTCTCTGTTTTTTTCTGTTTCTTTTCAATAAGAGCGTGATCGGTGTCAGACTCCATGTGTGTATGGCCGGGCACTAAAAATTTGTGTTGTATTATTTTCAAAGTTGGGTGATATTTCAAGCAGGCAAAATACATCGCTACAATGTGTGCATTTTTGTTTTGCCCAGTGCAAGAATCTGAGTAAAGCGTAATTTTTTCAACATCTGATGGAATGCTATTTAAAAACTGATGTATACATGATCCGACTTGGTTAGCTCCCCTGCCCGCTATAGCTTCATGCCACATGAAACAATAATCCTGATCATTGTCACAGTCATGGACAGTTAGGTTAAAGGTCCATAGCTGTCTTAAGTAGAAAGAAATGCCTGTAGAAACCTTTGGAGTTGGAAGGCATTGTTGTAAATCAAACGTGACTGTTTTTGTCGTTGGATCAATTTTTGATAATCGTTTATCTTCTACCTTCAATTTATAATAGTCGTCAGCTTGTTTCTGATGGGTGTCTAATTCGTGCTGATACTTCAACTTTTCTTCAATGTTACTAGTCAATGTTATCTTCATTCTCAGACAGTCGCATTTCCCACAAGTGTCTTTGCTTGGTTTCTTAATTCCGATATTCAACGTGTGGAAAATCTCTTCGAACTTTGTACGGCTAATAACAACATGATCAGGTTCACTTAAGTATTGACTGTATACCATAGCAAGTGTGTAGTGCGGTGGCAGATATTTTTTATTGCTATCTCGTCTACTATAATGGCTGCGGTAGAGTGGAATTTTAAGAAAAAAAGATGTGACGTTTTTTGTCGGCTTCCGTGTATTTATTTTTTGGTGGCTGTCTGCCTCGGCGATCGCTTTCGTATATCCCACTATGATTTGTGTTTAATTTTAGACTGCATAACTCCAAAAACTTATTCGTTTCTCCCAAAGTTTTCCAAAAGCAGACTTTGCAAATTTGATTTTCAATTCCGTTCATTCTTAAAAAATATTTTAGGGAATATTGACGATTTTTGTTGTTCCCAGTTAATTTCTTTTCTTTGGCAGATGCTTTTTTCAGTTTTTTTATCATACTTGTGACATAAGTGACACGTTTTAAATGGGAACCGGCACCCCAATATTCATTGAAGATGATCTGCCTATCAGCATCTGTGAATCGTTCTCTGCATTTCATTCGGCAATCAAGTAATGGTTGGCATACTCTTGCTTGTTTCGCTTTTCCTGACTCGGTAATATATGCCATACCAAAGTTTCTTCTAGATTTCCTCTCTAGTTTGGCAAATCTTGTTTTTCCTTTAATAGATTTTCTCGTCTTATGCTTTTCATTTGACTTAGTCTGTTTGTTAGCTTCTTCAACTCCTGATCTTCAGATATACTGAATAAGAGGTGCATCACTATCGCTGGAATCTGGACTGGAAGGCACATAATCATCTTCGCTAATTCCATCAAAAATTTGCTTGTATTCGTCTGGTAAAGATGGAGGAACACTTGATAATTCTCGTATGAAATGAAAATAGAAACATATTAGGATTATTGTTCTTTTAGTAGCTTTGCCGAACAAACTCATTCTACAAAAAATTAAATTTATTAATTTTACTCCTCATTTTATACCGTAAGTATATCACCTGTTGATAAACAACTAATACGTAACAAATAAATACAGTAAGATCTAATCTGTTTGATATTAAAAATTTGAGGTTAGGTTTCTTTCAGAAACTCAATACTCCGGATTTTACTTACCATCTGCAACTGCCTGATGAGGTTTACACATAGACACCCTTGAGACATTTTTGCTCACCTAAGCTCATTTTTTTAATCGATTAAAGCGAAACTTTCACGACTAGAACCAATCATGCTACGACAATGCAACAGTAACTGAGAACAAAAAGGAATATGTCTATTGTAAACAATGAAAAGGTATTTGGGCGAAATGGGATATGTCAACTTATCTCCCTTAGCCCACAGTGAAATGCGCGATCGTCTTGTACGTAAGGAAATAAGTTGACTTATCTCGTATTGAACAATTTTAAGACCAGTTTTGGATTTGACTCCAAAAGAACATCAATTTGGCTCCGTTGTTTGCGTTGATATGACTTATCTCATTTCATCCGAAAGAAGATATGATATTTTAAAGTCGAGGCATGGACATATCTCATTTTGACCCAAAAACGACTTATCCCCTTTTTCTCCGACACCACCGATTTCATGATTTTATTTTATGAAAGGCATTTCCAATTTTCGGTTTGATTTTATCAAACTATATAATGTAATTCTAACCTAGAAAATCGTTGGTTCTCTTTTGAGGCAGACTGAGATTGGAAATGCCTTGGCCATTAGGGCACGTTGCTAATGCACACGGTTCTTTTTCAGATTGGGGCCACCCCCTTTCTCTTTCCCTTTCACTTTGCCTAGCCTTGGCCAATATTTTCACCCATGCATGTACCTTGGCAGCGCCATCGCCTTTAACTTCGCCTACAACTGGTTGTGAAGCCACTATATGGAGGTCACCCCTCATAACTGGGACCTCCCCTTCAAGCCCCTGGCCATCCTGGCTTCAGTCGAGTAAAAATGGACCAGCGAAAGATAAGTCGATAGCGTTATAGCAGCGCCAAAGATGTAAAACTTCTTTTGTTATTTTTGTAAAATTGTAATGTAATGAAAATGCCTTTTTTTTTGTTAAATAAAATCTGTTAAATTTTTGTGTTCTGTTTGTTCTTCTATCCTCTAGCCATGCCATGGTCGACACACAGCTACACGCCTGTAGATGTCTTCATGCCACCGACTGAGCTACCGGAAGCTAATTGTAACCCCCTTTCTGTGATTGTGCAGAAAAGTTGGAATCTTCATTGCATTCCAGCTTTTCTGGACTTTTTGCGGAAAGGAAGCGTTACAGTTTCAAGTAGAAAATACAAAATTTCAAGGAATTCATCTTGATGCAGCTCTTCAGTGGGAGCACCACATAAGCAAACTATCTGCAAGCTTGTCATCTGTTTGTTTTGCAATATGGAGGCTCCGAGAAGTATATCCAGAGAAAACTATAATTTCGTACTGTCATGCACAGTTTGCGTCTACAGTAAAATATGGAATCATTTTTTGGGGTACATCAAGTCATGTGCAGAGGGTTCTTAGATGGCAGAAAAGGGGATTGAGAAAAATAGCTGGTGTAGTACCACGTACATCGTGCAAACAACCTTTCAAGAAGTATAATATAATGACAATCCCAAATATTATGATGATAGAACTTTTAATGCATGCAAAATCAAATTTATATAATTTTCCAGTCAAATTAAATTTTCATACCTATAACATATGTTATAATACTGCAACTGTCATTCTCGCACATAACTCGTGCAACATTGAAAAAAGTGCCAACTATCTCGGCTTAAGAGTTTTCAATAAATTAGAAAATCATATTAAATATACTAATGCTCTAAACGTGTAAAAAAAGACGCTGACTACCTATTTCCTGAATAAGCCTTTCTGCAGGGTGTTCTGGAATCTTGAAGGTGATCTGTTAGTCCTGTACTGCAATGTTTTTGTGCTCTGATGTAACCAGAGTTCCTCATATGCTACATTACTTTTCTGTAAAATTATATGTAACTTGTGTATACTATCCTGAGCGTGCATCAAAGTTTCCTATGCCATGTATTTGGTCGATTGAAATAAACTGATTATTATTATTATTATTATTATTATTATTATTATTATAAGTATTATTATTAATATTATAACATACTAAGCACTCACTGAATGTTTAATTTGCAATCGTATATCGTCATTTGAAATACCTTGTCCCCTGCTGGGGTTGCACTGTGGATGCTCAGCACGTATTCATATTGCAAATAAGGATTATAAGGCTAATATTTTCGTTGACCCCTCTACAGAATTGTAGAAATACTTTTCAGTCAAATCATCTATTGACATTTTCCAGTGTTTTTATACTTGTTTATTGGTTAAAATAATTAAGTTGCATTATATCGAAGATCAGCAAAAAAAATACAACCTTAAAAGTTATTATTATCATGGCAGTATTTTTTCTACTCTACACGATCCCTAAAGACTGCCATCTTATTTTGAGGTATCCTCTATACAGATGTTATATAATTAGAGGAACTGCAGTCCTTGGCAGTAAAATTAGCGGAGCAGGCTAGAATGCATTGGTTTTTCCAATTCCTCTCTCCGTAGGGTGCATTCAATTTATTAGGATTCATCAGTTGGATTCGGTGATTGAACGGTCAACGTTGGAATGATAGAATGCTAATAGAATGCAATAACAGGCGCTTTAATTCAAAGCGCGCGATGTTGTTACTACATAGACAGCCCAAATTAAATTGGATTTGCGAGAAAAAAATTGCATATTTTCGTGATCCATCGATGTGTCACCTGAAATCGCCCTTACTTCAGACAAAGCTAAAATACCGCATTTGTGGGACAAGTTTTCCAATTCTTTTTTTTTTTCATATCACGTTTGTCGGACGTTCCTTAATATGAATCAAGAGCTTCCGGGCGGTAACCCGTTGCAGACTTGATACATGCTAATGAATATAGTGAAGAATATATACATAATGACATTAGAAGTGCCACACTCAGAAAAAGGAACTTCTTCAACCTGACTTTTTGGCAGTGAGGTAATCTTACATCGAGAATGACACGATCACATTCTCACGAAATTTCATTGACTAGTAATAAGAAAAAAAATTAATAATGCGTTGGGCGACCCCGCAGCTAAATAGACTCCTGTATACGTCTAATGATAGACAAACTGAGATGATCGGTGCCTGGTTGTGGCACCTCATTCATTTCGTGGATTAGCTGTGGCAGATTCTGAGGCGGATTGTGCAATGTGGATAGTCTCCTCCCCAGCATATCCTACATATGTTCGATGGGATTTAAGTCCACGGAAAAACATTAACGCCTCCTGCTTGAAGAAAGCCTTTGATATGACAAGCAATATGAGGATGTGCATTGTCTTGCTGAAAAAGGTCTTGTGGATGGCTCTCTAGATACGGCAGTAAAGTGGTTTGTCGGATATCATCAACATAACGCGCAACAGTCATACTGCCTTAAACAAAGAGAAGGGGTGATCGGCTACCATAGGCAATAGCCCCCCAAACCATTACTCCAACAGTCCCGTGTACATGCCTCTCAACAGCAAATCGAATATCACGCCGTTCTCTACGGCGGCGTCTTACCCTTCGACGACCATCGCGCGTACCTAGAAAGAATCGCGATTCGTTGCTGAAAATGACATTATGCCATTCTGCCTCCCAATGTTGCCGTTCTCAGCTCCAGTTCAATTGTTGACGACAGTGGTCCGCAGTCAGAGGGAGCACTAACCGTAGACGGTATGAAAAACGTCCGAAGGCTCGAATGCGGCGATAGAGTGTCCACATAGTAACAGGTCTACCCTCTTCTCCAAACCATTGGTCAGTGATCTGATGCGTAGTATCAAATCGGTCTCGTAGGGCTAGTAGTCTGAAGCGCCTATCTTGACGCTCTGTGGTACGCCTCGGTGGACCAGTTGGCCTTCGTGTTCCTGTACCTTCTTCTATCCGCACACGACACACATGCATTGCCGTCATTGCAGTACAATTAACACGGTGGCCAATTTCGCGATAGGACAAACCAACATCTCGATAGGCAATAATTCTACCCCTGTCAAAGTCGCTAACATGGTGATAATTTGGACGTCTTCGAACTCAAGG